TTTGCTCCGTCTTAACGTCCTATTCACAAAGGATATTGCGCTAATGATATACCAGCGCAAACATGCCCACAAAGTTTGGCAGCTGAGTGCAGTTTGCCCCTGATTTGCCCCTGATTGCAATTAGCCACATGGCATGGCATGGTAAGTGTTTGGCAAAGTACTGAATACTGTATACCCTCATGTAGTGACGTCTGCTGGTGAGTCAGTCTAACAGTGTCGGATGGGTTGAGGCTGTGGATTTGACCTAGTTTGACCACTTTATCGCTATTCCATCTCACTTGTAGCTGTTTTTTCGTTATCTTTTGAATTTAATATGAATTATGGAACAGTTTTTGTTCACGTTTGTTTCCCCCGTTTCATAAAATAAATTATTGAAAGTTGCTTTTGAAGTGCGTGACAGAAGTGCGTTTTGAGAACGACCGCAGACTGTCACCTATTGAACGCATCAGTATTTTTGGATGCCATTAAAGTAATAATGATTATAATAATAATGTCAAAATATTATTTACAGACTGATTTAACAGACTATCACTGCTGCCATGATCACTGGAAAGTCTGGGCGAGAGGCTTCCACAGAGGAGCGCCCAGTTTGCACCAGCTTTCTAAAGACGTTATTTACTTCACTCAAACTGCGTGTGGCTATTAGTTCTGGTGTTAGTGAATTAGATTTTGTTTATCAATGAGGCTCATTTGCATAGAAAGGGGCAATTTTGCGCCAAATATATGCATATTACCTCATTTAAAATATGTGCAAATAACACCGGAGCACCGAGACTCAATCTGCTTGGCAGCGCAGTTAGTGGTGCAATAGGTAAAGTTTTAACGAGAAAGTTTCTCACATCAATCACTTTTATAGCAGCAAAATTGATCAAATGAACTACAAAAGCAATCTTAGATTTTATTAATGTAGTAGGCTACCAAAAGTTTAAATTTGTATTCGCAGGATTAGTCATTTATTTAACAAAAAAATGATACTTGGCGTCTGTGTATCGATACACTATTCTTCACATAATATCATGATACTATGCTGTATCAATTTTTCCCCACGCCTAAATATCTGCACAGATCCATATAGCAAAAATGATAGATCTGCGCAGTTGCAGATAACATTCAGCATTTCCAGTTATACATCACTCAGTCTAATGTTACAGGTGATGAGGCAGAAGAGTGTTTTGTAGAAGTATTTTGACAAAATAAACCAAAAGAATGTGCAGTGCAAGCTATGCAACGTTAAACTTGCACTCGGTTGTTCATTTCAGACCCTGTTCTTACCTTAGATTTTTTTGTTGTGAGAACTTAATAATAATTTAATGCAAATACCTGAATATGGGAATTATTTAAATTACCTAGTATGTATTTCCAGTCTTTCTTTAAGACAGAATAATTTGTTAAAGGATGAATTCCCTCAAAAACCCATTTTGGTTGATCTAATTAGCTTTATGGTAAAATGTAATTGACATTATAGCATGTCAGGGTATAGACGGCAGGTAAATAGAGTTTGATCTGATTAGATGATTATGATGTCACTGGTCATTTTGCCATATATATATCTCATTTCCTTCCTGTTGGTATTTGCCCGAGGAGGACCTGTTGTTGGTCATTATGTCACTAATAAAATTAAAGGGAGCTGTGATTCCAGTGTACTCCTGGTATTACAATAGAGTTTTCACAGCAGGATATATCTCAGCGACCTGAAACATAAAAAGTAAATGTCAGGCTTCCTCTAATGACTCACCATGTTGGACTTACACTGAACAATCATACAGAATGACATACATTGCAAAATTGTTTTCTCTTGCTCTGTCTCAACTGTAGAATCGGTGGCTCTCCTGCTCCATTCTTTTCTCCAAGAAATTACTACTTGACTGTGCCAGTTACATTTTATTAGGAAACTAATGGCTGCCTGGATTATGTTCGCTGTAGGGGTGGCTGATATGGCCAAAATATTCTATCATAGTAGTGTGAAACGTGTTACTGTTTTCATGATAACTCGTGGTGAAATTCCCCAACAGTTCGGAGTGAATCATCATTAAAACCGTGTTTGGCAAACCCACTGATGCTACTGGTCCTGTGTCCTTAACTACAGTGACACATACCTGTTTATGCATATTTGCTATGATTTTCATATATTTTCGTTTGGTATTGGCTGTTATTATTTTAATATTTAGGCAAACACAAACAGCATATTGTCGCTAATCAGTGGTGGAGAGTAACTAAGTACATTTACCCAAGTGCTGTACTTTAGTACAACTTTGAGTTACCTGTACTTTACTTGTGTATTTCCCTTTTCTGCTACTTTATAATTCTACTCCACTTCAGCTTGGAGGCAAATATAGTACTTCTTACTCCACTACATTTATTTGATAGCTTTACTTACTAGTTACTACTTTACAGATTTTGATTAATAATACAAAATATAATCAACTAATAAATTATAGTGCATTAATATAGATTAAGCTACCCAGCAGTATAAAGTAATTAAAATGAGCTCCACCTTTACCAGCTGCAGCATTAAAGTGATGAATACATTAACGTATCTATGAATATAATCTAAGGATATCATATACATTTTTCTGAAATGGGCCAAATTCTATATGATGAGTCCTTTTATGTCTACTTTAGGTACTTAAGTATATTTTGATAATACTTTTTTACTTTTACTAAAAGGAATAATTCACCCACAAAATCAGTTAGTCATGCTGTATTACCTTGAATTCATGAGTAATTTTTTTTTTTGCATGCCTTTATAGGAAACAGCCAACATAATGATTTATTGATTGACTGGGGACCATGTTAAACAACAGCAAAACTATAGCAAAACATACATTAATGGACTCTCACACATTTTGTGCAGTATAATCCAAATCTCATTTATCCGGTTGCATGCTCAATACTTCCAAACACATACATTGTCACTGAAAAACTGACTGCTCTCTACAAAGCCAGATTCCAATACTTGCAAGTTTTTTAGTGAAATGCACGTGTTATGGAAGCTTGTAAAGTTTGTAAACGTATGTTTTGATATAGTTTTGCTGCTGTTAATCGTGGTCCCCCATCAATCAATAAATGATTATGTTCACCAATTTCTGTAGCCTTGCAAAAACAACATTTTCTCCAGGAATTCACGGTAACACGTGATGACTAATTGTTTTATAAGTGGTCATTTTATGTATGAGGCATTCCTTGAAGAGTTAAAGACCTGAGTGCTTCTTTCACCACTGTTAATTTTATTTGTGGTTTTCAATATAAAACATGTGTATCAGTACTTTTTTGGCATTTTCAGCACATTAAAAAATACTGCTATAATACTGATAACCATGATCATTTTGGTCACTATAATCATAAAATGAAATGTCCATACTGTTTCATCTCTATATTACAGTAAAGGTAATTTTATATCATGGATATGGTATATGTGTAACACTATACAGTAATTGTTTTGTAAATTCAATTAAGAAATGGTTAGAAATATCAATACCATACTTCATCGTATTTGATTACATCCGTCTTTTATTTGAAACTTCCATACAAACAAAAGAAAAAAAATACAACTGCTTCACGTGAGATAGCACTAATGTTAAAAACAAAATACTAAAAAGAGTGATAATAAAAATATTTTCAAAATGGACACTTTAAGGTTCCTGAGAACAATAATTTTAAGTGTTACAGGTTTCTGTATTTTCAACTTCACTCTCCTCCTCCATGTCTGCACCAGTGTTGGGTAAGGGTTACTTTATAAGTAATCAAACTACGTTACTGCGTTACTTTCTTAAAAAGTGACCAGTTACTTTACTGCGTTACTCCCTGAGTAAAGTAACTCAGTAACTTTAAAAGTACTTCCAACGTTACTCCCTGAGAAAAGTAACTCAAGCACTTCTAAAGTACTTTTGAGTATTCTACATTTCCTACTGGGCAATGGACCACAGGGTGCTAAGCCTACATTTTTTTGTTTCCAAAATTAAAGTTATGGACCACTTGCCCTTCACTGAGATCCAATTCTCCCATCACAGCCGTCACTTTGACCAGTAGAAACACAGAAGGATCTGCTGCCGTAGACAACTGTATAACAACACCCCAGCGTTTTTAATATTTCCTCTAGGGATGTTACCACACAGAGTAAAAGGGGGAAATGATGGTGTGAAACAGCAGAGGCACTTTGTCAACCCGCTGAGTTAACATTACTGTCATTAGCATCAAGCTAGCAAACAATGTTACATCCTCACGGTCGGACATAAAGTAATAACATTAACAAATAGCAGCGGGGCTTTTACTCACCACAACTGCAGAGGCTCCCAGCTTCATTTGAAACAAACTACATTATAGACGGTCCGTTATTCATTAATCCCTCTGTGTGTTTATATATTTACTTTTTGTCCGATCCGTTGTCTTTGTAAAGTTAACATATCGCACCGTCATTTCAAACTCAACACTTGTTTCAAATTAAAAGCCCCTTATAACCTCGGCTGAGAGAATCCCTCCATTTTCCAAATAGGCTTTTATTCTGAAATATTTGTCAGAACTTCCTGTGGAAGATACAGTAGCTTGATAGTTTACATATGGCACTTCAAATGTAGCTCCTGCCATCTGCTGACGCTTTTAGGTGACTACAACAACATGTCGGCTGGCACATGAACAGACACAGTGACTCAAATAATAGTAAAAGTGATAAAAATAGGACAAGAATAACCCGATGACATCACACACGCCGTGAAAGACGACCGGGGATAATTGGTGAGTACCAGCGTGTAGTGTGTACCAGGCATAATGCAAGTCCTGAGTCTGAAATATGCCTGTCAGCGAGTCCTACTCCACCTACTTAGACTCTTCCGTAGACAACTGCAGCATTTCTCCGACCACGTAGCGAGCCACAAGCTCCGAGGCTTCTTTCAGATTGATAGGTTTAACGTTATCTCCGTTATTAGAACCAAACGACAGCCGTTGCTGTTTCTGAGCTGAAGGACCAGCGTTCTAAAAGTAACGGAAGTAACTGATGTCTTGTTTGAAATGTACTTAAGTATTTGATTACTCAAACAGCAAACTAACGCGTTAGGTTACTCGTTACTGCAAAAAGTTTGTAACGCATTACACCCAACTCTGGTCTGCACAAATCACGTTGCTTTGCGAGGCAGCTGGATTTCACATTACAACATTAGGGAACTTGTATGGTTTTGGTTAAATATTGGAAAAGTGAAGATGTCCTGTTTTTTGCCTAGAGTCATGGTGTACCCAAATTAGACAGTCATACAAGAAGAAATATATCATAAGGACACAACCTTAACAAAAGTATTTTGCTTTACCCTAAATGCGAAATGTGTGGCTCTCCTGCTCCTATTATATTATCGCTATAGCCCCTTTATCACCGCACAAAACCCCCCACTAACACCCGTTAATATCTTGGTTTTGTATGTGATGGGAAGGCTACAATCAGCACTCACAACCGAATTGAATCTGTTTTAGTCACGGGTATTTGACAGCTCCAGCTCTGAACACAATAACCAGCTGAACACGTTAATTTTAACCCCTTTATTGGCGAGATGCAATGATGCTCCATCACAGAATACCGTCCATCAACTTCCAAACAGCGCCCAAACATCGTTCCAAGTTAGTCTGCACATACTTTGAAGAAGAGACAGAATAAGTTAGAGAAATATATAAAGAAGAAACTACTGCAACATTTTTACAGGCCTCCATGCTGTTCCCTACTGTTTACCAACCCTCTATCACAGAATGTGCTGATGAACACAGACTAACCTTATTTATGTTTATAGAGAATCTGAGGACATTACTTCTTTAAAAGAGGCATCTTGTAGAGTTCTGGCCTCACAGTGGGAACAACACTGAGACACAAAAACTGTGCTGCTCCTGCAAATGTGATTAAATTGACCACTTGAGGTAGTTTGGAGGGATTGATTAATAGATTGACAGAAGGACTGGCTGTTATTAAACAGTGGATGTATGGACAAACTGGCTGTCCTCTCCTTCTCCTCCTGTGTGTCTTAACCTCCTACTCGTGTGCGTGTTTTGCCAAGCTTTAGAAAAAACATTCCAATCTGTGGAGACCTAAATTTCATTTTAACACCTCACTCCCTTTCTCCCACACATATTGGTCTAAGCCATTTCTTCCTATTTTTGGTTCGCCTGGTGTCTTTTTGTAATAACGCATGTATAACCTCAACACTGTCATGCCCAGTCGTCTTGCACTGGTGGGTTTTTTTTTCCCAGGTCAAACTGGGCTACTAGAATATGTATGCTGCAGTGCTGTCACATGAATGCATTAATAGTTATATGACCAATAGATTCAACCGAAAAACAAAAATGGGAATTGAATCACACTGATATTTAGTATACAGTGGACAAGACTTTTGTTCTCATAGGCCTTGGTGATCAGAGAAAAATAAACATTGTGGCCAACAAATATCAAAAACTATTTATATTTCTTTCAGAGTTCCGAGTGTTTTTTGTGTGTAAAGTGTTACTTGTGCCAATCCCGAAAGCAGTTCCTGTCTAGGATTAGACAGAGGGCCACATCACACTCCATGCACTTCCAGGGGGTTACCTGCCTCCCCCCCCTTTTCTCCTTGCAGTTTACACAGTTCCTGCGTCCATATGTGGCCTTCTTGCTTGCATCACGTTGATCAGAGATTGCCACGGGTAAGTGGCCACTGTGTCCCTGCGCAGGAGGGACCACGGCTGTGACGCCACACATCTGGGCTGTCAGCTCCAGCAGGAAGGCCTTGTAGGTCATAGGTTCCTCCTGCTTCTCTCCGCAGAGCTCTTTGTGCAGCAGGAAGCTGTTTGTGGCTGCAATGTCAAGGAAGTGGAAGAACAATGTCCGGTACCAGCGCGCGCTCTTGTGATGTACGGAGTAGGACTGGATCAGCTGGTCAGACAAATCAACCCCTCCCACATGCTTGTTATATTCCATAACTGGTGTTGGGCATGGGATGGATTTGGTGGTCCAGTTGCCATTCTTAGTTTTCATTCTCCTGTGCACAGTGCTTTGTGAGAATGCCTCGTGGACTGTAGAGCAGACAGACACCTCACGAGTGTCCATCCACTTCACAAAAACCAGTGGACCGTCACGGATCCACCTGATGGTGCCTGTAGGATCATTTTTCTTCAGAGCATTTGAGTCTGTGCGGGGACATCCTCTTCTATTGTCTCTGTATGTGCCACATGCTCCGATATTCAGGCTAAACAGATCATTGAAGAGTTTTGGACTGGTGTAGAAATCATCCACAAACAGATGAAAGCCGCTGCCCAGGTATGTTGACTTTATCAGGGACATGACAGAGTCATATGCAAGTCCAACACCTGGGGCAAACTGTGACTTTCCTGTGTACACAGAAAAGTCCAAGGTGTAGCCATTGCTGCTGTCTGCCAAAACAAAGCATTTGAATTTCTGCTTGGCTTTGGTATTTCTTGGCATTACATTTCGGCCCTTTGTTGCCACCATTCTCGTGTCAATTGAAAGGTTCTGCCTAGGATGGTAAAATGCTCTGCAAGCGTCTTTGAAGGTGTCCATAAGGGGCTTCAGTCGAAACAGCCGGTCATATTCTGGTGTTCCCTTCTTTCTGTCGTTCTCAGCATCTTTCTCAGGATCGCTCATGTGGATGTTCCAAGATATCGCCCTGAACCTGTCCCGTGGCATCACTTTGGCTGGAAATGGCACACTGAAAATAGTATTCTTTTTCCAGTAATCCTGGATAGTATCCATTTTCACCAAAGATAAGAAGAAATTCAGTCCCACATACTTGAAAAACTCCTTGTTGTTGATGTCAGTCCAAGAATATTTTTTGCCTTTTGTAATGTTTTTAGCAGCTTGTTTATTTGTGTTTTGACAAATGGTCTGAACTGCACTATTGCTGAAAAACAGTTTGAAAAGGTCCAGTGGAGTGTATATAGTGTTTGAGTTCAGTTGATGACCAGGAGGTCTTGCTGGGGCAAACTTCATTGGCTCTGGATGTACATCAGGTTCTGTCTCAGATTTCCAGGAGGCAGCTGAGTATTTTGGCTGTGGGCGTGCCTCCAGCGGAGATCTGGATCTGGATTTTTTCTGGTCTCTTGGTGAACCCTGTGCTTGCCTGGACCTGGCTCCCTGGGCCCTGTTGTGTGGTGAATGAGATCGTTCTTTAGGCTGCCCATGTCCATGATCTCTCCTAGAGGTGTTTGGCTCTTCTGCATCTTGTTGCTCGTCATCTCTGTAAAGCAAATAAAGATCATTAGAGAGATTGAAGGTTTGAAATATCAGATTATACATACCTGAGCAGTGTTGTACATTTCACACAGGATGAGGCCAATGCTGGGATTGCTTGAAATCCACCACACAGAAGATGGCCCAACCCCCCACATTCTCTATCTGTTTATCATGGTTACTATTCCAAAGTTTGCTAACTTTGAATAATGAATAGCTACATCTTTTTTTATTTGGTTGCTTACTTTCACTATTGTGTGTCCCATGTCCTACTACATAGGATAAAGATAAAGATCTAGGGCCATATTCACAAACATTCTGAGAGTACTCTAAGAGAGTTCCTAACTTAGACTAAAAACTTTTAGTACGGAGTCTTAGCTTAAGAGTGATTTAAAAAAACTCTCAGAGCAAATATGAGCAAGGAAGGGACAGAAACTTTTACCTTAGTGAGGAGGTGTGGTTGACCCTGTTGCTAGTAGTGTTGTCACGGAACCAATATTGGGACCCATGGTACGATACCAGTGAAAGTATCACAGTTCTGAGTAGTATCACAATACCACAGCAAAAATGAGGCAGATGCCTTTTGTCATTTATAAAAAAGATAAATCACTTTTCTATAGGCCTAAGACATCAATGATATTTCAATGGAATAAATTACTTATTGACTTATTCATACATAGGGGGGATCAAAATAAAATAAATAAATAAAATAAATAAATATCAACCAGCCACCCTCCTCCTCTGATAAGTTAAGAACAGTCCCTTTATTGTGGTGAGGTTCGTGGGCCGTTACCTGCCACAAAGAGAGAAATGTGAATGGCTCGTTTCTCCTCTGACACGTCACATACCTGTGTGCTGCCACAGCTTGGCTGTTCAGGTACTTTTGAGCAGTCATGACACCAACGAATAGGAAATTATTGGACCTGGAGCCGGGCTTCTCGGTCGCCGGTAAGCCGTTATCTTGCGGTGGCCATAGCGCTCCGCCATATTCCTGTCTGTGACCCCCGTTCAACCCACAACCGACAGGATTTGCCTTTCGTTTCTGCTGCTGGTTGAAATCTGTACTCGCACAGCGTGCTCCTGAATGATTTCTTTTGTGAGAGCGAAAGAAATCATTCAGCGTGCTCCTGAATGATTTCTTTTGCTCGCACAAAACTATTTTTAGTTGCAAATGCGAGTAAAATGCTCGCACTGTAGAGCTCTGTGGAAAACAAATCACTGTAGCATATATAAACAAATCTAGCCTACAAGTAAAAAGAAATAAATATTAACTTCCACTGCTTAAAGATACTCAATAGCTCAGCTAATACCTGAAATGTCACTGGAAAACAAACCACTGCAGCAGCATATCGATTGCCAAGTGGCCAACGCGTGAGCCGTTATTGGACGGCGCATTGACACTCACCCGCTTGCGATTGGACTTTGAACTTATCCCACAGTAGTGGTGCCGTGAGGTACCATGGTACTTCGGTACTCCAACATTATGGTATCATATGTACCGTGGTGTTTAAGTACCGTGGTCTACCGTTGGTACCAGTATACCATGCAACACTTGTTGCTAGGTGTGATGCTTTCTTGTAACAGATGTGATTGGCTGTCACAGACACACCCTTTTGTGGGCCTGCAAGGTGTGGACACCCAGTGGTAATGAAATGAACTGCATCACAATATGAGACTGAAAGTGTTGTCATTGTTAATGTGATCACTCTGCTGATGGAAGGTTGAGACAGACAAAAGTCATTACTGCTGCACTCTTGCATTTTTCCAGTTTTTCAAATATCTTAGTATTGTGATGATTTTATTTCTGGTATTATAGCATTATTTTGTTAGGTGATCGACCACACATATCCCTGCACAATCTCACCTGTAGCATTTCATTTACTCACTGTCATTTTGTGTTCAGAGACCATTTCTCCGACCTCTTTGGGTTTCCACCATTTTCTCCTCTGCTTAGGAAACTCTTAAGTCTCTTAAAAGTCCTCCTCTCTGCTCCTAACAGTGTTTCACCTCGGGAGCTGTCTTAAGGTCTAAGATGCTCTGTGAATAACTTTTATCTTTACAAGGACCTAGTCTTAACTTTAAGGGGAAATTCTCTTGCTCACTAGGAGCAACTCTTAGCACTAGGAAGCTTTGTGAATACAGCCCTTGAACTTTACACTGTGACCCTAAGTTTGTGCTGGTGTAGGTAAGTTACTTTGGGATGGTTAACTGTTAAGAATATCATCTAATACCTCGATAACACCATAAACAGCGTCACTGCCTAAATGATCCATAATTGTACAAAATAAAATCATGTCCATGTAACGTTATGTATTTTCATTTCTATTTCAAATGAAGTGAGCATGAATGGCCGCTTACAAATCCTCAGCCGGATCGAGTCCCTGTTGATAAGCCATCTCCTCATCTGTGAGGAAGCTCTCTGCTCCTGATTCTTCATCATCGTCACTTTCCAGAAGAGATGCACAAGATTTTTCTGAGCTTCTTTTGGGCTCTACATCCATTTTAGTCAAGGCATAAATAAAACAAACGACGTCTCAAAAAAACAACAGTTACTCCCGTGTGCACAAATTCTCTCCACAATTTTTCTCTATCGCGAGGAGTGAATGAATGAAGCGCCCTTTTTTTCCCCTCCAGATGTGTTCCGCCTTGTCCCGACTTACCGTGCTGTGATTGGATAATTATAACCGCGTCAAACTTCAATGTGTCGCCATAAGAGTAGTAGCCAATCACAGCACAGTCGTACTAGCCAATCACAGCACGGTAGGGCGGGACTAGGCGACACCTCAGATGTCACTTCCTGTCTATTTCCGTGTCAAGGAGTCAAATTAAATACTGCGTAAATAACAAGCTTTAGGAAGTATCTTTCAAGATATTACACAGTTTTTACTCGGTTAAGTTTGTGTTAGAAACATTCAAGCTGAATACAGATTATAAGTGTGATTTCTGTGGACTGGAAAAAGAGGAATTCTCATTTATTTTCTCCCTATACTACAACAGAATGTTTTGGATTAATGTTGCAAACTATCTCAAAAGAAACTAAAGATGAAAGTTTGAAATAAATATGTTTGATGTAATGCTGTATTTTAGTCAAGATAAGATTTGTAATAACATTTATACTATACAAATTAATTATTTTTTGAAAAATTCCATCTTTATAATGAAAAAGTGGAGGGAGACCGAACAGACATTCCTGCACTTTATTAGTGAACTTGAACAATATAGCACAATGTTATCTAATGTTTATTACAAAAAGCTATTAATTCCTTTGAGTTGTTATATGATTATAAGATGATGCATGTAACAAAAACTCATTATAAAATGTAAACAGATTATTCTTTTGTTTATTTTGTTGTTTTTTTTTTACTGACTAAGTATCTGTATTTATGTAAATTGATTATATTTATGCACAATAAAGAAAGTGAAAAAGAAGTTAAAAATATATATATATATATAGCCAACGTTATATCTCAATGGACTGCTGAGTATGCACCTTACAGTACTATCCAAGTGTGCAAAGTTCAATCTACACATTATTTATTGCACTCAAGATATTCTACTCATTATTTTGGCTTTCCAAACAGCACAGGTAGCATGGGGTCAATATGTTGTCCAGATTTTCATTATAAAATTGCAGAAAATATATTTAATAATATGAAAATAATTTAAAATAAACTCAACTTCATAACAAATGAAGAAAATGTAAGAAATAACAAAAACAAAGACCCTCATGTTTTGCTTAAGAGATGGAATAAAATTGAAATGTTTAAATAATATATATGTTATATATATAATTTTTGAGTTTTGAAATTTTAACTGTACACTATGTTTTAAAATTGGTATCCATAAAAATATAGAGGGGAGGGGTTAATGTCACCCATGCAGCTAACAGGCTTCAGCTAACAGCAAACTACAACAACTCTTTTTAACACGAATGAATGGATAAATTGCTATTACAGAGCTTCTGAAAGTGATAGGATTGCTGCTACAACGTATCCCAGTGCAGGCAATAGGTCCAATGGACTTAGAAATAGACAGCTCAGATCAAGGACAACAAGGCTGGACAAATAACAGTAGCCTGAAGAATCGACAGGACTAATTGTATACACAAGTATATGGAAAGGAATATGAATATTAAATAAATATACATCAAATGCACCAATGACCTACAAAAATAAATAAGTAGCAATATAATATTGGGCTTATTGTTTTGACAGATATTGTGATTGGGACATGAGTCAAGATGTTAGTGGAAATGGTCATTTTTTTCATTTCATTTTTACAAAAAAAAAAAACTAATGATGAAGATGTGATTTTTGATGGGCTCTGTACCAAACAAGCTTGTTCCTTTACATCTGGAATTTGATTTGCAGGCGGGGGCATCTCTGTAGCTGTACATAGATTAATTTATATTGGTATGTTGTGACTCATTTGACCTCTATCAAAAACTTGAAGCTCCTGCATTTGGATTGCACTTGGCCATATTGTGATTTCGATAGTTTTGACAGTGCCAGATGATATGTTGATTTAAAAAAAATGTACATTTAAAATTGTAAAACTACAATCTCTAATGGAGGCAGCAGAAGTGTTGGTGTTACAGCGTCATTAACCGTTTTTGACTGATATAAGTGTTCATCACAGTGACGGCCTGTGGAAGGAAACTGTTCCTGTGTCTGGTTGTTTTGACGTACATTGTTGTGTAGCACCTTACAGAGAATAGCACTTGGAACAGGTTGTGTCCAGGGTGTGAAGGGTCTGCAGTGTTGTTACCTGCCTGTTTCCTGACACTGGAGGTGTTAAAGTCCTGGATGGAGGGCAGGCTGGCACACATGATTCTTTCTGCAGTCCTGACAGTCTGTTGTATTCTGTCCCTGTCCTGTTTGGTGGCTGATCCAAACCACAGAGTGATGGACGTGCAGAGAACAGACTGGATTATTACAGTGTGGAGTTGTATCAGCAGTCCCTGCGGCAAGATATTACGAAAACAGTAACTACAGTACATTGATGTCATGTATGACAGTGCCAACCTCATGGACTTACTGGTTTCACAACTACCATTTCTGTCTGGTTTTTCACATCAGTTGAGCCTTATGTTTCCTTATGTGCCTTATGTGCAGCAGTGCCACAGTAAAATGAAACAAATATGTTATAGTAACTTTGCAGTGCAACACTCGTACTTAACTGATTTGTGTTTTTATCAATAATGCTGAAGTGTTTTCTGACAGGGTAGCTAAATCGGTGTCTTTGCAAGAGGTTTAATATATGTATTTGACTGTAGTGTGGTATTTATGTCCCCTTGCTATGTTTTCTTTCTTTTGTTTGGTGGCATTTCTAGTTAATTTACTGCTGATTATTTCTAATGTATTTACTGACTGTGAAGCACTTTGTAACTTGCTTTTGAAAAGTGCAATACAAACAAAGATTATCATTCTCAGAGGTATTTCCTCATTGTGAATCTAAATGTCAAATCTGTACTGCTGGAATTGGCCTAAAGTCGCCCCTCCCATGATGAAATCTCATCTCTTTTCCACATATGGTACATCGTTATTAGATTACAGTTCCCATGATTCCCTCATTGTCTCCTGCAAAATATCCATAGCAAACTGCTGGATAAAAACAGCAAGCAGGCTGCTCATTGTCCTCTGAAAAACTATTTGTCACGACAAGAGTAAAGAGAGTTAACTGGTGAGTTCTGACTTAATGCATTTTTCCCAAATATAATGACGGTTCCTGGTAACTCATCCTTGTTTTAAATATGAGTTACACACAGTGTACCTCTACCAGTGTCGTTCTGAAGCAGGGCTGAAAAAGAACAGGCTCCTGATAGATGTGACCTATCGTATTGATTTAAAGCAGCATAAAGTATGTGGATGATTATGTGTTTCCTTTAGCATTCACGTGGCAAGGCAGATTAAAGGAGTGTCAACCAAGAGTGTAAAGGTCAGGTAGTACTCCAAAAAAAGTAGTTTGTGAACATGATGTCCGATGACATCAGAAGGAGGTTTCGAGTGGTCACATTGGAAGGTGGGGTGAAAAGCCGGCTGTCATAGCGAAGCTGAGACACAAAATTGTTTAAATATTGGGTAACGTTGCACATTTTTAGCAGTGTCTTGTGCAAGAGTGTCGAGGCTTAGTGTTGCACTTGGTTGTTCACGTGAAAAATTAAAAGAAAAGTGTAAGAAAAAGAAAAGATTGCTAAAGAGAGGCAGTTCAAACCCTGGCTCCTGTCTTACATGGGGCGGCTGTGGCTCGACCAATTGGAAAGCTGGTGCTTTGATCCCTGGCATTTGCAGTCTTCATAACAAAAGTGTCCTTGGGCAAGATGCTGAACTCCAAATTGCTCCTGATAGCCGTGCCAGCTATGTGTGAGTGAGTGTGAATGTTTATTCAATGAACAGGTGGCACCTTGTATTGTAACCTCAACCACCATCTTATTTATGTGTGTGTGAATGGTGTTATAAAGCACTTTGAATGGTCATGCAGACTAGAAAAGTACTATGTAAATGCAGTCCATTTACCATTTAACTTTGCACGCTGGCCAATCACAGCGTGAAGTGGGTGTGATTGTTGCCTCGTCAGTTTCAGAAAAGTTACCAAAAGGGTCACACACAGAAGGTGTTCAGGGGGAGTGGGTTTCTGAAACTATCAACCATCTGAAAAGCACTTCTTGGGGAGTATACTGGCACACACAGTGAACTACTCTTACTGCAGAAAATATTATATTTACAGAACTTTTTTTAAGAAGCATTAATCAATTTTTTCAGATCATCGGAGGCAGTTAAGTACATTAATACTGACATGTTCTCTCAATATAAAGTTGAGCTGTTATGTGAACATGTTAGCAAACAGTTGCCTATTTACATCCAGCGTCAAACATTACAGTCATGCTTTGACTATAGGACGAAGTCCAGTAGTCTTCTTTTAGCTGTTATTTGTCTCCACCACCCAACTCTTTAGCTTACTGTTCCAGAATGTTCATCAGCTCATCACTGACTTTGTCCTCTGTCTGGTGCAAAGCAAGTAGTGCAGGGGGTTTATCAGAGCATTTTCACAGTAAACAGCTGCCTGCTGCGTCTCGTCTCTCACTTGTTTTTCTTTGTTTGGTTTCATCAGTCAACGGGAGCACCAGCCAAGCCCAAGTCTAGTTGAGCCAAGTCAAGATTCAACACTGGATCTAGTCCTTACACAGACTGTGGCATCTGGAGCCTTGGAAAAGAAGAGAAAGTACCAGCTTCTTGAAAATACCAAAAATAGCAGGCAAATTGCTCCCAAAAATATATGATGACAGTGACACTTAGTGCTATTCTTCAGCATAACTCATCACAAGCCAGGAGCCATGGAGGGAGAGAGAGAGAGAGAGAGAGAGAGAGAGAGAGAGAGAGAGAGAGAGAGAGAGAGAGACAGCATCTGGTGATGTTGAGATGATTTACTTTGGTGTGACGTGGAATTATACATCAAGAGTGTGTGTCGAGTCTGTGACAAGACTAAATCTCACAAAATGTGAGAACTGGATTTAAAGATGTGCTGCTTGTTCTGTTGTGAGTCTAAAAATCCTACTTAAATCCTACTTACATAACTGCAAGCTGTTTGGACGGTACTTCATAGAGGTTCTCTCTTTCTTTTTTTTTTCTACCTCCATTCTGAGTTTGTGGTTTTTCCCCCATTAACATCCACTTGTGTGATAAGGCTGCCATTAATGTAAATTTTTCTTAAAGAGAGCAGAACAAGCAATGCATGAGTCTGCATTGTAATACCTTCTGACTGTCTGTCTGTGGTTCTCAGTTAGAAACACATTTTTTCCTACTGAAGATGCAAAAGGGATTGCGAGTAAATGGTTTAATTTTCTTGTGATTTCCTTAAATAGCTAGGCACTGCAGTTTTTAGTTCATTTGGTGGGGACTATTTTTAGTGGTGGATTAATATCAGAAGTGTCAGGTTTTGGCTTACAGTTCTTGTTGGTCTTGATCTTTTCATGGAATTTCTTACACTTATCACTTTATGATTCAGTCTGAGATTAACAATAGTGACTGATGGATCTGACCTATCGCAGATCCCATCATTTTGTGTGAGTGCGTGTTTGTGTGTGCAAGCAGCAGTTAATTTCGTATTTTCAATACCAATCAAAAACATATGCTAAATTGCAGTTGTTAATTTTAAAATTCAAAAAATTCCCACTTTTTGGGCTCTGAAACAGGAAGAAATTACATCGATCAAGGTCTGACAGATTGGCAAATCCTAATAATCTGCGATGAATTTAGCACTCAGACCACCCATCACATCACATTTAGTTTTGAAATCCTAAAGTAAGACTTGTGTGTTCTGCATGACAGAAAGACACAGAGGACTTTGAAGTTCTCATACTAAAATTAAAACATAACTATGTGGGATATGCGGCATGCAGTATTCAGTATTTTGTGTAAAATGCACAAGATTTACGAGACATACACCAACATATAGACCCACAGTATATAGATGGAAGGATGCAGCAGTACTGTGAGGAGCTGTGGGTCTATACAACAGTTGCCTCACAGTTGATCAAGCATGTGCTAGCACTTAAACACTGTGTGTTTGTGTGTGTGTGTTAGGCCCACATTTGTGCACACGTGTGTAAAATACGCTGGGTGCTTCATTGGCTGTGTGTGTGTGTGTGTATAAATGGTAATGGATGGTGCTGAGTTGTCTCTTTGCTTTAGCTTCTGTGTGCTTGTGTTGCCTGAGCTGGTGTCAGTGATGCAGTCTGTTGTAGTTTTTGAGGAGAGAAGTGAGAGAGTGAAACTCTCCTGAGACTGATGAAGCACATGCACGCACACACACGTACACACACGTAAACACACCCACATTGCTCCATAGTGAAAATCTACTGCAGAGCATTTCTGAGAGAAGATTTTTTTCTTTATAAGCTTTCACTTTGTCTTTGCTTTTCAGGATTCAGACCATACCCAAGTGATTTTCTTAGGTGTGTGCATGTGTGTGTGTGTGTGTGTGTGTGTGTATGTGTATTGTATCATTGATTTTCCTCCATTCTTTAGCCATCTCTCATGTGAACTCTGACCTGTTTCCTCAGATTTTGACCCCAACATCTGAACCCTCGCTAACAGATTTTCATCAGCTACACACACAAACACACACACACACACACACAGTCATGGACACACAAACACAACAATACACACACTCAGACAATTAAATGGAAAGATTAATTGAATGTCTGTAGTTAATTTCAATAATGCAAGCTTTGATTTTCTCTCTCTGCTCTCTTCCTCTTGTCCCCTCTCTCTCTGTGCAGCCTCTGCTCCTAGGCTTCGGCTAATGCGAGGCCAGTCTCTGGTGGAAGGGGACAAGCTGTACTTGAAGTGCGAAGCGACGGGGAATCCCAGCCCTTCCTTCCGCTGGTACAAAGATGGACATGAGCTTCAGAGAGGCAGAGACCTCAAGATAAAGACCAACAAGTGAGTCTGTCAGACTGGATTTTTTTTTCTTAATGTTCACACTCCATATACAATATTCACACCAAAAAGTTTTAAAATGCCTTAAATCCAGACAGATGAAGACTTCCTAAAACACATGCTGTACAAACTGCTATGGCTCCTGGCAACTCTGTAACTTCACACTGCAACCAAACTGACATTTACTGACTTCCTTCTCTGTTTTATTTCATTCATCAACACAGATGCAGTAAAGAGCATAAAAAAGTTTAGGTATAGGCTCAGACTTTTTTCAAGGACATCTTACTACAACACCACATGCCCATATGTCATTGCTCGCTGTAATCAGTGGCCCCAAAGCTGTACCCTCCTGGAATATGTACACTGTAAGAAATGAGTGCCAAAATCAACAGTCCCTGTTCTGTAAAAAATGCATTGTGAGGTTCAGTCAGAATCAGAATCCAGTTTATTAGGAGGTTTTCACCAGTGTTAGGAAGCACCTAGTTAAATGTAAATGAGTGACTCCAGAGATGATCACTTGGTGCTGTGTCCAAACCTGTGTAACAGCAGCAACAGAAAGTTTGCTTCTCCAGCAAGGATCCATATAGTCAAGGACGCCAAGATCCTTGTTTATACTCAGGTGTAAACAGAGCCTCAAGGGGGATTTATACTTGTGCAGCAGACCCTACGCCACAGCCTACGAACGTGGCCTATGCCGTTTGAGCATTTATACTGTAGTTACACTTCCAAAACACTAGTGGGCGGCAGGGTTTCTGTCAAGTGCTGTAAAGTTTAGTAGATTCAAAACACACCCCAAATGCACATTAAACATGGCTTAATAGAGGCAATTTCAAACACAAGTGGGTTGCACAGAGTTGGGTTGAGTGTTCTCAGTTCAGATACAGTGCCATTTCTTGTAATCAGTTCCTGTAATGCTGTAAAGATTACGGGAAGACTGTGACTGGTCCCAGTTTAATAATTGTCCATTTGCTTCGATGGCCAATCACCACAAACATTTGTGTATAACGATCAGTCGTTTATTGCTTGTCTGGGCTAGGAACTAGAATTAAATTTCTCATTCCGTCAAAGATGAGTCTGCTGCTTTTTGAAACAATAACTGACACTTTATGGTTGATGCGTGCAGTGGGTTGCACCCATCACAAATCGTTAAAATGTCACACCCGTGCCACCCATGATCCCGTCCTGCAGGCTGTCTTGTTTATACAGACTTTATCTCTGTGCTGTTACTACCTCCACTCCCGGGTCAGAGGTGAGGCAACTCTGTCCCCCCATTTCGAGATCGTACCTCTTATACAGAATGGTGAGGCAGGATAATGGCACAGTATTCCCACTTTGAACAGGCAGTGTAAACAGGGCCATTGACTGTGAATATTTGAAGTTTCTCAGAATAGTCTTTTAGCATCTCTTACCACCTTTCTAAACCTGACCATAGCCTCTATCGGTGAGCCAGTCAAAGCTAAAATCAGGTTTCTGAAGTCTTAGTCTGAGCTATGGTGGAGGGATATGTCCTGGTAGTCGCATCTAGTGGTGAGGTTGTTACTCAAAAAAGTGATGTATTACACATTACTTGCTACTTTTAAAAAGAGTGACGCATTTCTTTAATTAATTACTCTCTGTAGAAAACTCTGCATGGGCACACTGGATGGTGTCGTTGTTGGCACGTTTGATGATTTTTTTAAATTCGCCCATTATGCAGATAATTGAAGAACTTGTGTAACAAAAGTAACAACATAGATGTTTGATTAGTAACTGTGATGTGATTACTGAATTTAGAACAGTCATGCATTATATTACTGTGTTACTGACAATTGTAATGAGATTACAGTAATGTGCTACTTTGTATGTTGTGTTACACCAGACACTGGTCGCATCTAGTTGTGTTGCTGGGACTTCATCAGTAGGTACATGTGACAGTTTTGTTCTGACTCAATGAGGACAGACAGATGAATGAAGTTAAGATAATGTGACAGGATATGGGTGTGTGGATTAACAGATGATTTGTGCTGATTAAGATTTAACAGAAGTCTTTGGGGCTTGGACACCAGAGGGAGATTGTTTGTGATCGTGGGACATCTGAGCAGCAGCAAGACAAATCCCCCCTTGGAGTCCAGACACCGGTCGAGGTGATGGTGGCAGATGACTTTGAGGCTAATGACTGGTGCGGCTGTTGAGGCTGATGAATCGGACAAGACTAGGCAGTAATAGGGAGATGAAGGGCGAGCATAGTTGCAGCATGAAAAAACTACAGGCAGAGAAAGAACCATATTTAAAATGAGAAGCAGTAAGATGATAGGCTGACAGAGAAGGTTTGTTGCTGTGCTATTGGTTGATTGTGAGTCAGCTGTAGAGCAGCTGATGACTCAATTGACAGCGGCAGACAATGACAGCTAGAGATGGAGAGTGAGCATGGAGTGAATGGCAGGGTGAGACAGAAAAATTGCAGCCTAAGCGTGAAAAGTATTGTCTTCTCTACTGAACTTTCACTAGAGCTTCATTGGGCTAACTTAGCTACAGAAGCTAGCTTTAACTGAACTGTACATTGCATTTTTGTACTATACACGGACAATGTATTTTGTTCCTCTTTCTTATAATGTCTTAAAAAAGGGATTGCATTACAGCCTGCATGGAAAGCAGGAATGAGTAACCCACAGCTCTCTCAGGGTGTTCATAGAGATAGATGTGGAAAAAAATCAGTCCTCTCATGAGCACAGTGAAAGTTTTGCTGACTTTGATGCACATCTTCCAAAGCAGTATTATCAGGCAGTGTCCTACTTTCGTTTCATTGGTTACATCACACATAACTTACCTTGTATAATCACAGATCATTTTTTCACCCGCTCAAAATGTTCAATCAGTCATAAATCTGCTGAAAAAGCTCATGTAAAGTGACATAGTCATATATCACATACTGTATGTCCTCTTTGTTACTTTACAGAGTGAATCAAACACTTATTTTGCACTCATACACACTTCTAATGACACCCTGTTATTCACTGGTGTAAAGCATTAACAAGTTTGTGTTTGACTTTTTGCTGTAAATGAATGTTTAAAACTGATTTTAAAGTTATAACCCATTTATCTGTGGTTTGTGTTCTCAGTTCAGATACAGTGCCATTTCTTGTAATCAGTTCCTGTAATGCTGTAAAGATTACAGGAAGACTGTGACTGGTCCCAGTTTAATAATTGTCCATTTGCTTCGATGGCCAATCACCACGAACATTTGTGTATAACGATCAGTCGTTTATTGCTTGTCTGGGCTGGGAACCAGAATTAAATTTCTCATTCAGTCAAAGATGAGTCTGCTACTTTTTGAACAATAACTGACACTTTCTTTTTATCAGCTCTGTATCACCCTCTGTGTCTCCCTGTTTTTTCCCTCTTCTGTCTCTGCCTGTTGTTCCTCGTCACTGAAGAAAAAACTCAAAGGTGCAGATTAGTCGTGTCCGTGTGGAAGACTCGGGCAACTACACCTGTGTGGCTGAAAACTCACTAGGACAAGAAAATGTCACGAGTATTATCAGCGTGCAGATCTGTGAGCAATGACACATCTATCTATCTATCTATCTATCTATCTCTCTATTCACAGTCTGACTAATTTATGTTGATTGTAACGTATATGCTCTACTCTTCAAGCCTCTGTTCCAAAATGTTTTTTTCTTTCATCTGTCATTCTGAAAACCTAAAACTTGATACTGGGCCTTTCTGTCCATTTAATCTAATTACTTAATTTCAAAGATGCAGCAATCTGATCATGTAATCACAAACTTAATTTGCCAACAGTGGTCAAACTGTGTTGTATAAGGGCCCTGACACACCAAGCCGTCAGTTGGACGTTGGTCAATGTTGGGCCATCGTGAGTGTCTGTTGCCCTAGTTGCCATGTTGTGTCCCACACCGTTGGCACTAGTCGGCCCTTGTCACCTGTTTTTCGGCCAGTTCAGCATGTTGAATCAACGTCAGAGAAAGCAGTGCTGCTTACTCTGATTGGCAGCTCAGCTCAGTGCATGAAAAGAGAACTGGAAGTGAGGGAAGCAAACAAACGACTAAAGTCAAGAGGGTGGTAAATTGAAACAAAGACTGTTTTTTATCTATTGAGCCTTTGGCAGAAACAGTTCATAATTGTTTGTGGTATTCTTCGTTGGTGCACGTTAAATATCCTTAAAACACTGGGTTGTGTTGTTAATGTGCTAACTGGCTAACTAGTGAGCCGCCTGTTGCTATGGAGAGTTATTTCCTCTCATGCAGGCACAGAACCTACATGCTAGCTGGCCATCAGCTATAATCTTTGTGGTGTGTTTGTGTGCAACTTTTTGGCTGAGGCACAGGCAACATGAGGTGACGCAACAGTCTGCCTTTATCGCCACTAGTTTTTTGATGTCGGTTTGATGTGTCTTGGCCTTTACCTAGCCTGTGTCATAATATAGTACCTGTCAAGATCAGTCAGTTTTTGAAAGTTTGAAAAAGAAGAAGAGAGAAGTGTGTTGGGGGAGCAGGTGTATCCGACTGAACCTGGCTCTTTCCACTCACAAAACCAGCAGCTGTGAGCTGGAGAGCTGCAGCAAGCACAGGAAGGTGACTGATGCCTGCCCAAAGAGTAGATAGATTTGTCACACTAAGCTCTTTGAAATTCACTAAAGAGGTCTGAAAGGTATGTGGCATACTGTGGTGTATGATATTTAGCGCTATGGCTGCCGTAAAATTTAACAAAACTATGACAGCTTTTTTGCCTCTGTTTTCTGTCTGTCCTCCTCCTAGTGACCACCACCACCCCGTCTCCAGGTGTGAGTCATGTGAGGCGCTGTAACGACTCGGAGAAGGCCTACTGTGTCAACGGAGCAGACTGTTAGTATTTTGTGTAAAATGCACAAGATTTATGAGACACACACTGACATACAGACCCAGTGTCTTGTTGAGTCTCAACATCTACAGTGTGTATATAGATGGAAGGATGCAGCTGTACTGTGAGGAGCTGTGGGTCTATACAACAGTTGCCTCACAGTTGATCAAGCGTGTGCTAGTGTTTAAGTGCCAGCAGATGTGTGTCAGGCCTACCTTTGTGCACACATGTGTGTAAAATACGCGGGATGCTTCATTGGCTGTGTGTGTGTGTTTGTGTGTGTGTGTGTGTATAAATGGTACTAGATGGTGCTGAGCTGTCTCTTTGCTTTAGCTTCTGTGTGCTTGTGTTGCCTGCGCTGGTGTCAGTGATGCAGTCTGTTGTAGTTTTTGAGGAGAGAAGAGAGACTGATGAAGCACACACTCACACACACACACACACACATGTAAACACACTAACATTGCTCCATAGTGAAAATCTACTGCAGAGTGTTTCCGGGGAAAGATTCTTCTCTCTATAAGCTTTCACTTTGTCTTTGCCTGCCCAAAGAGTGGATAGATTTGTCACACTAAGCTCTTTGAAATTCACTAGAGGTCTGAAAGGTATGTGGCATACTAAAATTTAAGAAAAAGGTGACAGCAATTCTTTTTGCATCTCTTTTTTGTCTGACTGTCCTCCTAGTGACCACCACCACCCCGTCTCCAGGTGTGAGTCATGTGAAGCGCTGCAACGACTCGGAGAAGGCTTACTGCATCAACGGAGGAGACTGTTAGTATTATGTGTGACATGCACAAGATTTATGAGACATACACCGACATATAGACCCACAGTGTCTTGTAGAGTCTCAACATCTACAGTGTGTTTATAGATGGAAGGATGCAGCAGTACTGTGAGGAGCTGTGGGTCTATACAACAGTTGCCTCACAGTTGATCAAGCGTGTGCTAGCACTTAAACACTGTGTGTGTGTGTGTGTGTGTGTGTGAGTGTGTGTGTATTCAGTCTCACAGATGTGTGTTAGGCCCACATTTGTGCACACGTGTGTAAAATACGCTGGGTGCTTCATTGGCTGTATATGTGTGTGTGTGTGCGTGTGTGTGTGTGTGTGTGTGTGTGTATAAATGGTACTAGATGGTGCTGAGTTGTCTCTTTGCTTTAGCTTCTGTGTGCTTGTGTTGCCTGAGCTGGTGTTAGTGATGCAGTCTGTTGTAGTTTTTAAGGAGAGAAGAGAGAGAGTGAAACTCTCCTGAGACTGATGAAGCACATGCACGCACACACACACGTAAACACACCCACATTGCTCCATAGTGAAATTCTACTGCAGAGTGTTTCTGAGGGAAGATTTTTTTTCTTTATAAGCCTTCGCTTTGTCTTTGCCTGCCCAAAGAGTAGATAGATTTGTCACACTAAGCTCTTTGAAATTCACTAAAGAGGTCTGAAAGGTATGTGGCATACTGTGGTCTATGATATTTAGTGCTGTGGCTGCCATAAAATTTAACAAAAAGGTGACAGCATTTTTTTTTGCATCTGTTTTCTGTCTGTCTGTCCTCCTAGTGACCACCACCACCCCGTCTCCAGGTGTGACTCATGTGAGGCGCTGCAACGACACAGAGAAGGCCTACTGCGTCAACGGAGGAGACTGTTACTTCATTCATGGTATTAACCAGCTGTCCTGCAAGTAAGTTGGATGCTCAGTCGGCCCCCCGTCCCTTCAGTCATCACTGTATAGTCGTTCCCCTGTCTTCCTCCCTCCTTCTCTCTTTCTGTCTCTGTCTCTCTGGTCTCAGACACTATGTCGCTGGTCACAGCGCTACATTGTCTTCCATTCCCTGGTTGTACCCTCCCCACATGCACCTGCAGCCCACTCAGCCACTCACCATGCACTGTGTCTAAGGCTTGTTATTTATAGTTTTTAACAATTGTCACAAAACAGGTTTTTGTGTAGAGCAGATGGCTTAAACAGATCTTAACTCAGACATTATGTCCATGCGCATTCAGACTGGTTGCATCTTGCTCCAAGCAGATCACTTTACAGTGTGTGAATTTTGCTTGTGACAGTAGCACGTGAAATGCTTCCGGTTATGGGTAGTCATTAAAAAATGAGGAGAAATGCAAAGGTATTAGAGAAGAACAAACAGTTAAACTACGTTTGTTTTCGTTACAAATTATATTTACAAAGTCTTGTTTTTCTTTTAATATTCTACTGGTGGTGTGGATTCCATCTGTCAGCAATATGGTATGATAGTAGAATCTACGGCTGTACCCAGCTCAGAATTATGTAACTCGAATCAGATTTGGCTGTTCAATACAAATATTTTACTATTTGTTCCTTGTTTTACAGAGTTTGAGAGTTTAAATTGACGTTCTGGTGACAGTGATATTCATGTAATATAGCGAACAAGGGGAGCTAGCCCTCCAAGCTAATGCAGGCTAATGTTAACTATGCTAATGACGAATCAGAAATGTCAAAATATTTTTGCAGACACTGGTACCAAACAATGTCAGAGGCTGTATTGTATTAACTTTCTAAGCAGAGGGCAGTAGATAAAGTTTTCTCGAAGCCTGGCTGGGCAAAGCCTCTCTTCCTGCTGGCAGCTGCCTTTATCTCACTCAGACTAAGGGTTCAGTTATGCTCAATGTTAGATGCGGAGACATTCTGAGCCTTCTGTCTGTACTCTGCGTTCATTTCGTCCATTTGTGCACATTTTCTGAAACCTTACGGATATGGATGAAACAGAGCAGTACCACCTGAGGTTGTGGGGGCAGCGTAGCATAGTTCAAGCGAGATATGACTGTAGGAGACAGCGAAGAAATTGAAATATTGGCGGAACGGAAGTAATCAGTAATAAAGTGAAAATAATTCCTTGTCCACATGTTTGTATGTATATAATACTGCCTCCGTTTAAAGGTACAATATTCCGACCTCCTCCACCATCACCTCATTTGTTGATGTGTGAAACTTTTGTCTCCACCCTCTAGTGCCATCTATTGGCTGTATCTATGCTATCATAAGGGACGTGTGGAAGTATAAGGGCAGTGGAGTTTATAACATTTGAAATGGTCATTTCAATTTTCATACGTAAAGGGAGTTAAAATGAACCTTTTCCCTGGGTCTGGGTCTGCAGCTGCCTGTACCGGAGAGCAGTATGGAAGTGAGAAGCGCTCACTCTGCAGCTAAATCTGGGGACCAAAACATCCCCAGAAGTACGCTGCACACTGACTGACTGCTCGACTTGTGGAGTCTCAGTCGACTGAGGGGCCTCCGACTGATGATTCATATCTCTGACTTTCAGAGAGCAGCCCTAGTGCAAGCCAGTGGAAACAGTTAGCATAAACCTGCACATATGCAGGGTGATGACAGCATGTGGGGCAAAGTTATTGATTTTATAGTCAATTATGTTTTTTTAACAGGTTTTCAAATTCCATCAGACAGTATTGTCTCCTTGGTCTGTGTTCAGTTAGCAAGCAGGTTACTTGTGTAGCATGGCAGGTGATTCTACTTTTGTAGACCTTGTGGCAAAGAAAAATGTTTTTGCAGAGTGCAGTGTTGCTCAGAGGAACTTCACAGGCATGAAAAGTTAAAGAGGACATCCCGCTGACGTAGTATATTAGCTTCTGCCTCTGTTGTCGGTCACACTGTTGGCATGTAACCATGAAATGCCTGCATACTGAGGACACCTAAAGAGGACAGGTGAGAAGAGACAGATTTCAATATACACTAATATGCCCTAAGTTTTTATATTTTTCAACTATCAGAGAGGCTGCACAGTTGATTTTGTGTTAGCCTACCTTTTATTAATTTATTTATTTATTGTCACTCACCTCCATCTGTCATTAGTCACTGTTAGCAGCTATGCTAATTTATTAGCAACCATAACCACAGTGTTACTAATTTCGAACAGCCAACTGTAGTTGACAGCGCATGTAACTTTAAGATAATAGTCTGGCAGTATTACCTTAATTAAGTTAGTCCCAGGTAAAGTGTTAGCATCAGCCAAAACTGATAATCTGTTGGTGGGAATACTTTGATTATTAATAATGAAAAGTCCAAATATGGTGTAACCACCACTTTTGTCACTTCACTCTCACTTGTAAAGTTGACAGAGAGCAGAGGATCGTGGGGAAGCTTGCAACATAGCGAAAGTGCTTGTTATAGGTGAGATTGCATAAAGCTGAGTCCTCCACAGTGTTCACTGAAAAACTACAACAGTCACACAGCATTGTCTTTTACCGAGGCACGATCAGAAGTAAATATGATACTTCACAGGTATTTACTGTATTGTCCATCTGTTCTGAAGTTGTTTCCCTCTCTTACTGGACTACAGTTCTGTAATTTTATTGTTATTGTCTTACTTATCCTGCTCCGTACCTTTTGGTAGGTTGATCTGTGACTGTGCAGCTGATGTGTGATGTTGTGCTGTGGTGCGTTCACATGCTGCGTCAAACTCAGCCTTCCAAGACTTGAGAGAGGTTTGATGCACATTCTATTGGAGGAAGCTACCAAATCCACATCATCACAACAATGTGTATTTTCATATTGTGTTTGTTTTTTTTAAAGCTTTTACTTTGTGACAAGAAACCCTGTAGCTGCTATGTAGTTTGGCAGTCAACACTCAAGACACACACTCTCATGAATGAATGCATCAAGCAGACAGAGAGCAGCCAGTGTGATTGTTGTTGTTGTTTTTTTTTTTAAACTGAGCATGTTGAGCAGGTGCTTAGTTCCTGTGTGGGGATAATGTGAGTAAGACATACACCATGTTTTGTGCAAGCTGGATCTGAAATGTAGTAATAGTGACGCCACAGCTATTTCTGCATTGACGCAGAGAGGGAGTGGTTAACAGGGTTCACTCTGCATGCTAAGTATCTAGTCCTTCTTCTTCTGTTTATTTGAAATAAACTGTTAACATAAAATGCATCACTTCCTGTGAGTGGGAGGATTTTTCCCAGGAAAGAGCTACCAGACTGGTAGGTGTTTAGAACAGCAAGTGCAAGAAAATTTCCATGAACTGGATATCAGATGAATCACTGCTGTGTTATATGAACTTATTACTGAGAAAAACAGATATTTATTTATATGAACATGTCACAAGTTACATTGACAGCAATATGCATGTTGGCAACAAAGGAGAATATTCAAACCCTGGTTACAACAATCTGGAGCTTGCAGCACCTCACACGAGTAGAGGTTGAAAATGGCATCATATCAGTAATGGTCTCTATAAGGAGAATTTATTGTTTGTTGCGGAATCTGTAGGTGATAGGACAAGACTTTGGCACTGGAAGTGTTCTGGTTTCTGCTTGTAGTCCAACTAGTATTGACCAAGTACATTTGACTGGTTGAAATGCAATCTTGGAATCCAGTGGCTATCGTCTGAGGATGAGTTAATTTTATACGACCGTTGTCAAATTTATTTGCATTCATATGCAGATATCTATTTATAGAGATAAGCTAATATAACAGGCAAATGGAAAAGACAGTTGTGGCCTGGATATCTGTTGGCTACACTGGATCAGCCCAGAATATTGGCCCAGACCAATAGCAGATGGGTTTCGAGATTGATTAGCTAGTAAGATTGCCCTTCTTTGGTATACATTAAATGGCACAGTAGGCCAACAACTGTAAGCTTAATGCTGTACAAACTGCATTTGCAACCAAAACTTTGTATTAAAGGGACAATTCACCCCAAAATGTAAGAAAAAATACATATTTTGTCTCACTTGTAGTGCTTCTTTTCACTTAGGATTGTTTTGGTGTGAGGTGCCAAGTGCTGGCGGTATCGGCCGCAGAGATGTCTGCTATCGCTCCAAAACAATGGAACTAGATGGCAGTTGGCCTGTGGTGCTCAAAGCACCAAAAAAATCCCAAAAAACAAACATTTGAAACACTCAACATCAATGTCTCTTTCCAGAGATCATGACCTCGTTATTCAAGTTGATCCACAGGCCTTGTTGTGAACCGTTTCATGTAGGAACTATTTTCTTTGTACCAAACTACACCCTTGGATGAGAGGCCTGTGCTCGCTACAGCACGAGCTGTAAACTTTAATGGCGTCCTCCTTGGCGGAGCTGTGATGTTAGCTAGTTCAGTGGTACTAGGTGAGCTAGCAATAGATTGCAGATGGAAAACAGTTCCTACATAAAACTGCTTACAAAAAAGTCTGTGGATTATCTTGAGTATCCAGGCCATGATTTTTGGAAAGAGACATTGTCTTTGAGTTTTATTAAATGTATATTTTTAGCATGAGTGCCATCTAGTTCCATTATATTCAAGAGAAGGCAGACATCTCTACGGCTGATATCTCCAGCACACAAAAATAGCACTACAGGTAAGAGGAAGAGTACGTATCTTTGATTTTGGGGTGAACTGTTCCTTTAACCTGAGCTAAGAAAAAGTCCTTGTGTTTCTCTTTGTGAAATCTATATTTTCTAAACTGAAGTTTGTAATCTTTCAGTTCCAACTTGCTATACATACGGGGTCATTTTGTAGATGTGTAACAAACACTTCCCCTGACAGTGCAGCTGACAGATGGCGTGTATAGACGTGCATGATCAAGAGCTTTGTTGTTATGCTTCCTGTACAATTGGATGTATCTGCTAGAAATCCATCCTTAGATCCTTTGGTGTCTGTTCCAGATCTACACTCTTTGTTTCTTCATTTCCATTTCTTTCTATAAA